ACACTGTCTGTTAACCCCTTCGTGACGGGAGACGTACACTATACGTCCCGCCACAAAGGGACCAAATGACTCGTCACGTACACTGTACGTGACAAGTTATTTGCTGCATTAGAGGGCTAGTAACCGCTGAGAATCAGCGGTTAATATTCATTAATGGATGCCTCAGTATAGAGGCATTCATTAATTAAAGGGTTAACCTTTTTCAGACACCTGATACCTTAATATCAGGTGTCTGAGAGTCAAAGCAGAGCAGGCAAACATGCCGGCAAAAGCCGGCATTCTGACAGCTCGTATAGATCTAGAGATATCTCTCTCGGATGGTATACTGGCTTTTTTTTTTCTTTCACTTTCATTAATAGATACATAATGTATCTATTCCTGAAAGAAGAATGTTTCAGTTTTCTGATCGTTGTTGGAACGTTCAAGAAAACCTTAGTGACAGCTGAATCCTGAACTGCTGCAGGATCAGGGTCACTAACTTATTATAGGCTGTTCTGAAGTTTGAAACAGCCTAATAATAACCAAAAATGTATTAATTTATCAAGCAGTAATAGTGAGTATAATTCACAATGACTGCTTGATTTAAATAAATAAAATAAAAATTTTAAAAGTTTTTACAAAATAGTGAAAAGTGTAAAAAAAATAAAAATAGTGAAAAGTGTAAAGAAAAAAAAAGTGTAAAAAAATAAAGGACAAATAAATAAATGTATTTATTGCATTTTTTTTTTAGCTGTGCTGGTTTTGTAAAAAATACTGCAAATCAAAACTGGGAAAAACGTGTTTTTTTTAAACGTTTTTTCCTCTTCTTTTTTTATATTTTATTTGTCCTAAGTGAGGCGTTAGACACACATATGTGATATAAATATGTAGCACTAGCTGTCCTCTAAAAAACAATATATAATATGTGTGGGTGCACTTTGTAAGAAAGTATATTACTGACGTGGAAGAATCACACAGCAAAAATGTCAAAAGTGTGTCAGTCATTTACGAACAGAAACTAAAAAAAAGCTCAGTCATGAAGGGGTTAATGCTTCCAGTCTGTGCTTTGTTTCAGCTTGAAGACCAGAGCCATTCACATATTCACTGTCATTGTTTAATTGTACTGAGAATGGGGTGCAGCACTCATAGCTTCCATTTGTCCCTAATTCCTGAATACAAGTTTACCTTTTGTTCATATAAATACTGGAATAAAAGAGAGCAAGCTTTAGGACTAATTTATTTTTCATACCTGTACAGGCATTTAAAAGTACCCAGTAGCTATCCAATGTTGTTGTCATCCACTATTCCAAAATTGGTAACACTATTTGGTTTTATGAAACCACTTGCAATAATTAGAATTGTAATATTCCCCACTTACTATTTTAAAGCCTGTGTAGGATTATGCTGCCATCAAACTAGGTGATGTAAACGAATAATTTCCTATACAACAAATGTTTCATTAGGTTGGAGAAATGTAGCGTTAGAGTGACCATACACATCTTATTCTTTGCAAACAAAATGTCTGATGTGGAAATCGATTATAACAATCAAACAGGGATGTGAATATGTATGTATCAGAAACATGCATTATCCGACACAGTCATTTTCTAACTCCACCCGTTTGTTTTTCTATGGCACAGCTGATTGAGTGTGTGCTCCTAGCACTCACTGTGCAAGCCAGAAAGAAGGTCACGGCTGGTCATGACTGCACTAGGCATTCCAGGATGTGCAGATGTACTATTGCTTTTCTCAGGACATGTGCCAGTCTATGACCAACCTACATTTTTAAATTGCATTTAAATTATTAACTTGCAACTTAAATCAGACAATAAGCCAACTTAAAGTAAAGCCATGGATTATGACACTGTTCTGAATATAAATTATTTATGTTACATTAGTAACATAACCCAATGCATCCACACTCTAAGGACTTATATCACAACATAAAAGACAAAAGAAAAACAAAACAATCAATAATAAATACAAGAAAAATAGTAATAAATGCTGAGATTACAATATTGTTTAATTTTGCTGTCTTATGCTGTACTAAACCCAATCATATGTACCTTCCAGCTTTGGCTGGCTCCTACATCAACAAAAGCATGTGCCACTTAAACAATGGGAGTTATATTCCTTTACAACTTGTCCTAAGTCACCACAGACCCAAAACAGTCAGGGAATTAGCATTTAAAACTGAACTCCAGTATTGCCTGTTTTTTCCCACAGTTGGGAGAAAAACAACCTGATTACTCTCAGTTTCCTGTAAACTTGGATCTCCATAATATAACCCTTTGAAGCTGCAGCAGCTTTCTTTTGCCCACCTACATTTCCTGTCTGAACTACCTTCATCAGTCATCAATCACTTCTCCCCATGATCTGTAGGATTGTTGACCCCCTCTCTCAACTATTAGCATTCTCTGCCATCAATCATTTTGCATCTGAACTTGCTTCCAGCATGCCTTTAGACATACCCCCTGATGTAACATCTTGTGAAGTCATTGACATTGCACGTAGGGCGAAGCTAAACCACAAGCAGACCCAAAAGTTTTGAGAGATAGAGGACTTCTGCATCCTGGAGTATGGCAGATGATACCCTAGGATATTGTAAACTAGTCAAGCCTGAGGCACAGGTCTATGTACACAAAATTGACTGCACCTAATTATGTGAGTGTGTTTTTACGTTTTTATTAATAAAGAGTCTTATATGGTTTTATGTGGTTTACCATTTTTTCATACCCATGTGGGTTATAAGAGATTATGGAACTAAGAGAAGATAAATCCCATGATCGCTTGCAGTAGCTGTGGGTGTGCACCACCCGTACCTCCACCGTCACCCCACCACCGCTGCCGGTCCCTAGATCCGCTGTGCCTGGCGCGGCTGGGACGGGCACGGTGATGCTGTCAGTGGAGATCAAAGGGAGATCAGTACACAATCTCCCTTTTATCTCTTCTCAGTCCCCGAATGCAGGAAGTAATGTATATTACATCACTTCCTGCATTCAGTGTCACTCTCCGGTACAGAACACTGATGAGAGGCTGGTGAAGCAAATCTCTGCTATATTAGCTTCTCTGGGGGTCCCTAGGTGACATTAGGTCTCTTAGAGTCCCCTGATGTCTCCATAAAGAGGATCTGTCATGTGGATTGGCTACCAAATAGGGGATTTATTAGTCCCTTATGTGATAGCAATAAAGTTAAGTGTAAAAAAAATGTTTTTAAGTCCCCCGCCCCCACCCAACATACACACGCAAACATGTGTCGATTGCACCAACGTGCAAAAACAATGATTCCGCCTATTGTGCCGCATATGAAACATATCGCCACGAATGTCGGAATGAGAGCAATCATTTTAGGACCATTAATTACTGATAACACTAAACTTATGAGAGGTAAAAGCTTTTAAAGTGTCACCTATGGCCAATTTTGGGTGTGGTCGTTTTCTGCGATTTCGTGGGCGTGCACAATTTTAAAGCTTTGCATGCTTGGTGTCTATTTACCCGACGTGACCCCGTCTTTTATATGTTACCAAAAAATTGGGGTTATAATAAATGTTTCATAACATTTCATAGGGTAACAGTTTTTTTTAACGAAATGTAGGGTACTTTTTTGTTATATAATAAAAAATAAAAACCCTAGTGGCGATTAAATACCACCAAAAGAAAGCTCCATCGGTCCCCAAAAAATGGTATAAAATTAATTTCAGTACAGCGTTTCATGACAGTATAAATGTCAGTCAAAGTACCGCAGCGCTGAACACTGAAAAATGGCCTGGCCAGGAAGCGGGGTTTAACATTCTGGTGTTCAAGTGGTTAAACTAAAGCGTACCATGGGTTTGTGTTGTGGAAATCACAGCACAGAAGATACACTGCATTTTTGTGGAGAGTGACATGTGATATTGCATAAGATTGTGATTATTATAGACTTTTTGATGCAGTATGATAAGAACTCATACATAACTGTGGTTATTGTGGACTTTTTGACATTGTGGAATAAGAATTGGCACATTCATATTTATGTATTTATATTCCTAGATTGTGAATATTTATACCATAGCAATGTATGGTGATTGCACATGGGTACAGTATATGACTGTTTATATATTGAGTTAAGATAAGTAAGGAGCAGTTAGGATGGATATACCAAGCACTTTACATCACCACAGGATTTAAGGAATAATCAAGAATACAATAGTGCTACAATGTTTATATGAATTAATATAAGTCAATAGTGCTGAGAAAGCCATCTGGAGTGTTAGCAGCTCAGTTTGAGCCAGCTAAATCCTAAGAGCAGAAGGTTTTCATACTGTATTTAATGCATTTAGAAGTGCCTGTAATCAGTTAACCAATCAGCAGTGTGCACAGCTAAAGTCTGCAGTACCCACTGGCCAATATGCTAAAACAATTTGAGCATTGCTTTATCATCATGAGCGACTAGCATACAAAATACAAAAATATTTATGATGCAACCTTAAAATAGGTTTAATAATGTGTTATAAGGAACAACTTTCGTGAAAAGAAAATATGTATTTTTTTAAGTTTGTTGGAACTGACAAACACTAATTTGAAAAGGCTGTTTTTAGCCTTCATTCATAAAGGGGCTACTGTCTTCTGATACACAGAGAAGGACTAGCTGTCCAATGACAGCCCAATCTTGCAGCACTGGCTCACCAGTGTAGCTTGAAGGGTTTACCTGTCAGTTTGACAGCCAGTCTCGCTCTTCGTATCTAAGAGCCTGTCAGATTTGGCTGTCACTAGACCCACTCTGTATATCGGGGGCTTCTGTGAAAATTTGACTGGACTGCCAAACTAAAATTTCTGTATTTATGTATACTACCAAATTTTGTTTGGGCATAGAGGTATGAAAAAGCCCTAGTCATACAGGAGGTACAACACAAATACACTGATGCAGAATCGCATATGCTTACATGGAGACATGCTTGAATTTTAGCGCTATTGCACATGCTTAGGCCATTCCTTTATACAGATGCAAGCCTTAGAGTTCAAAGTAAAAAAATGCAGCTTACCTCTTCTCTAGCCGTTGTAATTTCTGTTGAAACTTGTCTTCATTGAATGATGTATTTAAAGCTCTGTGTAGACGCTGTTTTAAAAGGAGGGCATTTGTTAAACAATGTTATATTCTGCAGATGTATAAAAAATGTACTTATTATATAGTCTGTATAAAAAATTTACTTTTTATATAGTCTCTACATCAATTTATCTTGCAGCACTAGAAGTATAGCAAGTTTTTATTTACACTGGACAGTTATACATTATAGGACATACTACCGGCAAAGTAGGTATACAAACCACTGGGTGTAGTTATTGGATAAATAAAGCATGGATCAAGGATTAATCAGTTCATTTAACATACTTGTCCATTTTTGAAGATGATGTACTACAGTTATACAATGTCATGTTTTAAAAAATCTCCAAAGTGCTCAGAACAAAAAGAAAGCACTGATATGTGTGTGGGATGAGCAATGATAGCTTTAAAAAAGCTGTTCATCATTGGGCATCTGTAAAAAATGTTGGCAAACTGAAGGTACAAATGAAAGTGTTCTCTGACATACTGTAGTGATGTAGGGGCAGGTTGCAGGAACCACTGAGCGCAGTGTGGTACAGTCACGTGTGGCCGCATAATTTTTCACCATAATTAAGTGGTAAAGGACGCAGGAAATGTATTTATATACTTTCTTAAGGAGCACGTTTACCTGCATGCACAGTATTTAGCAACAGAATCACTTCAAGCAACTATAATAGTACAGTCTAGTACAGAGTGGTGGGTGTTTGGTTACTGAAGTAGGGTATACCAGTTAGAATTTCATATACATATTCTATGAGACTTGTAGGTTGTTAGCCTAAAGTACCTTATCCTTGTGATGGGGCTGCCATCATAAATATAGGAACAGCATTTCATAATACAGCCGTTTGTTCTGAAATAAATGCTATTTGTGCTGCCCCTAACATGGGATTATACACTCTGAGGGGAATTTATCAAAACTAGAGCAGACAAAATCTGATGGCAACCAATCAGCTTATCTCTTCAGTTTGTTCAGTTGAGATTTAAAAATGAGAGAGATGCTGATTCGTTGCCATGCACAGCTGATGCAATTTTTGCCTGCACCTGTTTTGATAAATTCCCCTGTGTTTTTGTTTTGGGTCAGATGTCTATTTAAAGGCAGCGCCAACTCGCCTTGTCATAGCTGTTTTCGGGCATTGTGGTATTTCATGGGATCTAACAGAGCCCACTGAGTTTTCCTCCACACTCACATTAAGGTCTCGCTGTTTGTCCAGGATTGCTTATTCAATATAAATCGCAACTATTCCCCGTTTACTCAACAGATGTAGGCAGATGGTCATAATGTTATGGCCGATCGATGTATATTTGTGCTGGTCACCAGCACTAAACTTAGGGAGCTCCAGTGATTTATACAGTTGTCTGAGGATCAGGATGCATTTTTTTCCTTTTATAGCAGGTTAACCCATGTAAGGTTGTGTCCCTGTGTTCTAGATCAGTTATTAGTTTAGGGTTCTGAAGATGCAAGTTATTTGTTTTTTATTCAGTTAACATTTGTCCTGTTTTCAACATAATGAGGTACGGTAAGTGTATTAATGGCAGTCTGCCTGGTGCATTCACTGAAGGGGAAGAAAGAGTATGACTTTTTCTCTATAGCCAAACCCCTTCCTCAGGTTGATACATATACACAACTATAATGAAAGAAAAGACTCCCGAGCAAGTAGACTGGTTTTTCACCCTATAGTGTATTTATATGTTTACATGTCTATGGGTTTCTAATTGTACAGAGCTGTTTTTGATTTATAAAGCTACAAGTGCAAGGCATAAAATATATTGGTTTAATTAAGAAAGGTAGAACAGTCTGCTTTACTGTGTGTACCAGTGTTAAAAGTTGTAGCATGTCCAATCTATGCATTTCATCCCATGGATATGATATCGTACAGCTGTCAATGTGTTAAATGATCAAATAATATATTTGAGGCTAAGCTACATAGGGGATTTTAATCTCATGCTAATTAGTATTTAACCTCCTGATGACAAGTGACTCATTTGCAATATAATTACATCTGTGCAGTACAAATTAGAAAAAGTACATCAATATAACTTTAAGGCAACCAGGACTTCTCTTAAGAAAAGGTAATTTCTTTTTCTATTGTTTCTTTTTTTTTTTTTTTTAAAGAAACAATAAGCATATACATTAAATATTAGCTATGGTCCCCATGCATGCAGCAAATGCTGTTGGGCATGACTTTGTTATGGATGGATCAATACCAAAGAATATCATTATAAATTAAATCTAGCAACTGAAGGGCTATGTCTCTTAATTGCCATATTTCCACAGCAATCAGGCCAGAATTGCAGATTGAGGAAATTGTCTAAAGCATCCATTTGTATCACTAGAATGTTCTCAAAAGTAATTATTAAATTGGCTTCCTGAATGTGTAAAAAACACCTGAAACAACAAGCTGGGTGCTCTTCATTTAGATACTACAAGTATTATGCAAAGAAGTCTAGTAACCTTTGTCAAGAGTACAGAAAGCACTCTATGGAACCAGCTGTAGATTCATTTCCTATATTGTAAATCTGTTCAGTGGCACACGTACAGATTAATATTTGTTTACAGAATTAAAGTTTCAATTTAAATCACTAAGTAGCATGAGATGATAGTGGTTAATGTATCATAGCAGTTAAACAGAGTAACTATCCAGGTATTCAGGTACTACATTCATGGCAGTAGCTGTTCTAAAAGTTATTGAGCAATATGACAGAATTAAACTGACTTCTGAGCAAATGCTATAACCATTTTACGAGGCAGTAGCAATCACATCTCTCTACTCAGCAAATATTGTTAGAGAACAGGGTACCCTGATGGACTAGGATTGACCTGCTTCTTATTTTGGTTGTTGTTTTATTCAGTTTTTCAGTATGAATAACACAAATATAACACTGACAATTAGGAACCCATAAAGATTAACCCAAAGCCAGCCATAAAAGTCAAGTCATAAGGAACCATGTTTTAACACAAATATAACCAGTACAGTAATACCTTGGTTTACAAGTAACTTGGTTTGAGAGCGTTTTGCAAGACAAGCAAACATTTCTGAAAAATTTTGCCTTGATATACAAGCAATGTCTTGCAATAAGAGCAAAATGTTATAGAAAAGCACCACCTGAATAAGGCTGTAGCAGTGCGAGCGATGAGTCTGTTTAACGACAATGCAATGTCACATTGGATAGATTCCTTGTTAAGGTTTCACAAAATGAAAAATATTCTATTGAGTCAAGAGATAGCAGTGATTCCGTTAGTGATGGTGAAAGTCGTCCTACACAATAATCCTACTCTCTCTTGTCCCCCTCACACCAGCCACGAAGGTACAGGTATTTGGTTTATTTTTCTTTATATTTTGTACAGTATAATATTACAGTACAGTATTGTAATCATTTTTATATGAATATTTTGGGGTTGTGGAACGAATCATGTGAATTTCCATTATTTCCTATGGGGAAATTCGCTTTGATATACAAGCGCTTTGGATTACAAGCATGCTTCCGGAACGAATTATGCTCTTAAACCAAGGTATTACTGTATTTACATTCTCATATGAAGCCAGGTTTCACAAGCACATACTGTACAATCAACATGGAATCTAATCAGTTACTAATTTCTAAAGTGACCCCATCAGAGAGTTCATAAAATTACAATGGCACTATCCTGTACAGAGATACTTACCTGACTGGCAGCTCATTTGCTGAAACTTCACTCTGCAGCAGAGCATCTGGCACTGATACTATACAACTTTGAATAGAAAGTATGCCCCTGTGGTTCCTACTGCTGACCCCTAGTCACTGCAGGACACAGTAGTGATGTAAGGGTCATTTGACAATGACTGAAACATGGTTGGCTATTGTAGGCAACCACACTGTGCGCATAATCATTATACTATTATCATAATAAGCAAACAGGTGATAGATAGAGATAGATAGAGCTTAGGGTTTTTTTGTCCAAAGCTATTACCTGTTTTTTTTGTATTACAAAAAGAAAATATTTTTGCCACTTCTAAGTCTAAAAAAATATTTAGACAACTTTATTAAATATTAACACATCATAAAAGCAAAAAAGATAAGCATATACATACCTGACTAGTATGAAGCCAGTACTTCAACTTGGATTTCTTTTTAATCCTTGGAAGAACCAATCTGAATACAATATGTTCTCCAATAGTGGTGAGAATGGATACACCAATTCCTATACAGAGCATGACAAACAGCCCTGAGAAGTGTTTGATGCCCATTTGCAGAGTCTGGGAAAGTAATATGCATGAAAAATCAATTAACATAATAGTGATAGTGCTGTTTTATTTTCTGCAGCTGGACAGAATTTATCTTGCCTGAATATTAAATTATTCGAGCCAAAGGCTTTCAAAGTAAATTAGATGGCAAGAAGTCTACATTTTAAAATATAAATCACAGTTCAATATAACAAACTTATATCAGCACATACATAAAGTTAAAAATACATGTTTCATTAACTATTTTCTATTGTGTTTATATAGAGTAGAAAGGGATAGAATGAATACATGAGTAAATTCAGTGGTTAAAATATAATCACAATGTGTAGTAAATTAATAATGACATCTTATTTTGATATTGAGCATTTAAGGATATGATCCCTGTTATTTTAAGTTGTAATGACTGCTTGTTAACCAATTATGTAATTTCTAGGCTTCTTGTATTAAATCTTCTTGTATTAATGGAAGTTCAACTGCTGAACTGCTCAGGCTCTTCACATTTAGAGATGCCTGTGAAGTCTTGGATGAAGACATGATCTGGTGCACTCGCAGGTAACAACATTGGTATTATTATACAGAACTTATATAGCGCCAACAGTTTGCTCAGCGCTTTACAATATAAGGAAAACATTACAATTACAATACAATTCAAGACACAATGGTAAGGAGGGCCGTGCCCATCAGAGCTTACAATCTAAGAGGGAGGGTCAAGTGATACATGAGGAGGTAGCTGTGTGGGGATGAATTGTTTGAGAAAGAGATAGTTCAGCAGTTAGTTTTAGGCAGGAAAGGTTTCCCTGAAGAGATGAGTATTTAGTGATCTCCTAAAGGCAGGCAGAGCAGGCGATAGATGGACAGGTTGGGGTAAGGAGTTCCAAAGAATGGGAGAGACTATAGAGCCGTCATGGAGGTGAGCATGGGAGGAGCTGACTAGGGAGCTAGAGAGCAGGAGGTCTTGGGAAGAGCAGAGAGGACGGTTAGCGTGATACTTTGATACAAGGTTGGAGATGTACCCTGGGGCAAAGCCGTGGATGGCTTTGTAAGTGGTTAATATTATGAATGTTATCCTTTGGGCAATTGGAAGCCAGTGGAGGGATTGACAAAGGGGGTTGCATATACTGAGTGGTTGGTTAGGTGGATAAGTCTGGCAGCAGCATTCATGATAGACTGAGGAGGGGATAGCCTGTGCAGGGTAGGCCAATGAGGAGGGAGTTACAATAGTCAAGACGAGCGATAACAAGTGAGTGGATGAGTAGCTTTGTGGTTTCATTGGAGATGGAGGGGCGTATTTTGGAGATGTTACACAGTTGAAGATGGCCGGATTTGGATAATGATTGGATGTGGGGCAGAAAGGTGAGGTCCAAGTCAAGGATGACACCTTGCACCTTGGCATTGGGGAAGGGATGAATAGCTGTGTTATCAATCCTGATCAAAAAGTTGGGGGAGGATCCACGGGGGGGAACAGAATATCATGAGCTCAGTTTTTGAAAGATTGAGCTTTAAGATGTGTTGTAACATCCAGACTGATATGTCAGTTAGTAAATTAGTGATATGCAATGACACTGAAAAGGTGAGTTGTGGAGTGGAGAGATACATTTGAGTGTCATCAGCATAGAGATGGTATTAGAAGCCATGTGAGCATATCAACTGACCGAGGGAGTCGGGTGAAATTGTGCCAATAAATGGGAAATGTGTGTCACTTTCATCTCACATACCTAGAAAAGTCTCAGTTAGCAAAGAGCATTTGTGTTAGTAAAAAACTACATGGTTTTAGATGTTTAACTTTTGATAGAGAGGTAACTGGTGAGAGCCTCTGCCATGATTTTATTGTATGTTGCCCCTCTGTTTGTGGCTACCATTTTGACTTCTTCAGTAATCATTTTTTGTTCCTTTTTTTTTGCATGTCATTTTTATTGAAAGTTTTCCAACGTTACAAAAACAGGTAACATTTGCCACAGTTATTACAAGTGTACAGTAATAAGAAATTGTAGAGAGTTTATGCAAGTAAACAACAACAAAATAATAAGCATAGCATCAAGCATCACAATCACTACTGAAACCCTAGAGCATCATTCAGGTAAGTCTGACTGCTAGGGGTAAGAAGAGTATAGCATGGGTTAGTCCAGTTTATATCTCATAGTGGAACGTCAGAGGACATCCAGAGGTCCAAGAGATGCAGTTAATTTCGCCTTATGGTACCACTCCCTATCTTTAAATAGAGACATCACTTCTGTAAGTTGGCTCAAAAGACAATTCCCATGTTAGAAATGGGGTCCAGGTGGCAAAAAATCTGTCAGTGTGTGAGCAGCTATACTGAACATCGAGTTTCTCCAGGGACACCAGTTTATGAAGGAATTATTTCAGGGTGGTTAGAGAAGGAGGGGCAGATGACAACCAGTTCAACAGGATGGCCTTCTTGGCAGCAATAATACAGATGTGCTCCCATCGGGAGGGTTGTTTAACAGACAGTGTTGTGGAGGGGTTAATGACATGAAAGAGGCAGAGGGCTGGATCGTTTGTTCCTTTTTAAATAGAAGTATTTAGGGTCCTGTTACATATAAGGGAATGTTTAACACAGATTGGTAGAAAATAGGAATCTTTCAGTAATATTACTTTGCTAGGAACATCATAATAGTGTAGACTAAACATTCTACTGATACCTACTGTATATGTGGGTGGAAAATCTGTCTCATGGATAGCGGTATAAACCAGGACATGGCTTCTAATCCTTCCCCACTCCAAAACTAAAACTATTTCTGTACCAAATACTGAAGATTGTCAGCAATCAAGCTTAAAATAACTTACAAACAGAATACATACTTCCTGATACATGTTGTCAAAAGAACACTTCTAATTACTATTTAAATATATTTTGTTTCTGGATAGTCCGAAAATTCATCTATTATTTTATAACAGTCAGGATTATATTTTAAGGCTTTAACAGCCATATAATACAATTGCATGCTACATGCAAATTATTATTATTATTATTATTATTTTTATTCCCATATATTTTTTTAAGGAAACATTGGTCCTCTTTTCTTTTTAGAAAAGTCTAATACCATATATCTAACCATACTGATTTTTAAAGTAAATATATACATATGTATGCCTATTTACAATGTAGACACAATACACAATACACAATATAAAAATGAAGCATTTCCCATTTCCCTCTGGGAATTGGAGGCTGTATGGCAGGAATATACATACTTTGTCCAAATCCTTACAATAAGTTCATCTAAAGTTGACTTAGGAGACAGTAGTGATGACTTATGTTTTAGTGTACCATTTTATTTTCCTACTCCAGAGAGAAACAATGATAAATATGATGTCATGAGGGATTGGTGGGAGGCAGATTCTGCTCAGCCATAAATAAAAGAAAATAAACCACCTCTACAATATATTACTTGGATTAGCACCCTTTACTGTAGAACTGTACAGTAGTGGTAGTTTGAAGCACATCCTAAGTACAGCTATTTATAAAATACACCCTTACTCTTACCCTTAGTAATCAATTTTCGTTTTCCTGTTTCATTTAAGGAAATCATAGTTACATTTGCAGAAGTTTATATTTATTATAGTTAGGGGGATTCTAATATAGATTTGAGATATTAAAGTATTTCATCATTATGTAAAGCATATGCTATATAACATTTGAGCCTTGGAAAACAGATCTTCTTCTGTCCTTAAACTCGTTATAAAGACATGTACTTTAAAATATTAAATTAAGCAGCTTGGTGAACTGATGAAGTGTTCCTTCAAAACAATTTCCTCAGATTTAATCTATCTTTGTTACTGCATGACTAATCCTTACACACTGAATCAGAAGACAGACTGCATTTGTCTGTCAAGATCTCATGGGATATTACTTTTCATTGTGAAAGACAGCTATGTCCCAAATTTTATTTATTTTTTTGAAACAGCACATCCATTTTAGATCTTCTTACCTACATCAAGTAAGAAAAAAGATCAAACACAAGTATGTAAAAAAAAATCTCATTGGGGGAAAAAGATGAAATATAATATCCAGACCTCAGTGGAACCACAGGATTTGTAATTCTATCTAGTCCATTTCACTTCGACCTAATTATGTGAAATTTCATCAAGTTCTCTACTGGTTCTAGAAATGAGAGCACTGATTTATGATACACATTAAACACCGGAGACTTAACTCTGTGGTAGCTGCCCAAAGGTAAACTCTGATCAAGAATATCATTTTTCATGGTGGGGAGCTTTTAAAGTATATTTTCAAACCATTCTTTATTTTCTGTGGCTATGTTCATTTAATGCTTTAATGGTGGACAGTAAATCCCAGTATTTACTGGTTGCAAAGATCCTGGTTAATGGAAAATTGCCTAGAATTTTCATTCATATTCTAAGAAAATGTTACTAAGAATCAAACTAAAGAAGCTGTCCCAAAAGATTATTCTGGTACAGAATAAGCTCCAACTGGGCTATATCCCAATAGGAGACAATGGTAAATGTATAATGTATAACTGTAGGAGCTCGTGCCTCTTAGTAATGCATAGCTCTACTGTACGGGAATTCCACAGGTGTATCCAATGTATTAAATCGAATAAGTCAAATGTATTTAGTGTGCGCATATAGACATTACACACCAATACCTCTAATTCTATTTTGCGCACACTAAATACATTTGACTAAGAGGCACAATTTTTCCCTGGGGGACACCATTAGGTGAACGCCGCCATTCCGGGCGGCGAGGGATCAGGTGACCGAAGGAGAAGGAGAGACCCACGCCGGTACTTGCAAGGAGACATTAGAAGGGGTTGGAAAACCAGAACTTTAAAAGACCTCTTTAACAAGGAGCCTCTCTTGGGGAATTGTCAGTGAATGTTTGGAGGACTGCCGGACAGATTGATCAAGTGTCACTGAGAGAAGGAAGTTGCCCTTTCTTAAAGTGCTGTTCGTTGGTTATGCATGTAATGATACATGCCCCATGAAATGTCAGTTTCTTTGCTGTTATTATTTTAGAGTTTTGATTTATTTGCACGTTTTTAAGTTTTTTTTTTTTTTTTGAGTATTGGAGGGCCACCACAGAGCCCCTCCTTCCTTTTCAAAGTTTGTTCACAGCTTGAATTAATATCACGATTTAAATTTTAGTTTTCTGTGTTGTTTTACTACACCGCTAGCCAGAGGTTCACGTGTTTAAAATATACATGCCGAAACAATGAGGTTGATCACTGGCACTAATTCTGAAGGTTCCAGTGTTGATTTTTATTATTCTTATTATGTTTGTGTGTTGAACCTTCTAGTCATATGTAAATAATCCACTTGCATCAATTTTTTCACACGGATTGTTGTAATTTTACACAGATTTGTTTATTAACACTTTAGTGTGCAGTTGGTTCACATAGACCGAGCGCAACATATTTGCTTTACATTTGTTCACCTATACACATTGTTGCGGCTGGTCCAATCAGGTAGTTAGGCACGCATTCCCAGCGCAGTAATTTCTGTGATATAATGTCCCAAAAGATTATTTTAGTTATGCAAAAATAACCAATCACTGATATCATTAGACATAAAAGTTGTGTTTATTATTACAGGGACTAAAACTGTCATTGTTTCAGATATTATGTCAGGCTTCAACCAATAAAATAAAGATGAAACAAGATTTGATGTGAAATCTGATGGCTGAGGACTATACAATAAAAAAAAAACAGTTTTGTGGGATGAAAAAGTATGTTAAACCACTTGAAGCATATTTTTTTATATTGATAATTTGCTTGGAAAATAATCCAGTAACCAAAGAGCATCTCAAGAAGGGCAGCAGTCCCAAATATAAGTATTATGCTATACACTGTATGTGAGCTGAGACACATAGGGAATTTTAAATGGGATATATTTAATGATAGTAACAGCAAACTCCAGGATTTTTTTAAATGGACAAATGGGCTGATCTGCAAAGTTGGTGGACCGGTTAATAGTCTATACATTCATGTGTGGTAGTCATTTGTTGGCTTTTTAAATGCAGACTATGGGAACTATATAATGTGCTACATGTTGTAAACTGTATTTTTTCTAATTGTTCCTAAATTAGCAAAGCATATAAAAAGGAAAAAGCAATATTATAGCATAAGGCAACTTACTAAAATAATAAGAGTTAAAAAAAGAAAATAGAGTAAAACCACTTAAGAGAATAAAAACCTCACTGTGGAAATGGCAATCTTCTAAATGCCCATGTGGAATTATACTATACTGACTGGGTCTAATTAGCAGAACAGTGTGGTCCCTGGACACCTCTTTGCCCTTGTTAGGGGAAGAGAAATGTATCAGCTATTTTAACAATTATACCTTTTAGCAACCGCGACTACATACATTACACACAATGAGGTAGATTTTACTTCATAGTTCATATTTTAAGATGTGCAATTTTAAATATAATCAATTGAAATGTATATGTATATGTATAGATAGATGTATATGTATATGTATAGATAGATGTATATGTATATGTATAGATAGATGTATATGTATATGTATATGTATATATATATGTATATGTATATGTATAGATAGATGTATATGTATAGATAGATGTATATGTATAGATAGATGTATATGTATAGATAGATGTATATGTATAGATAGATGTATATGTATAGATAGATGTATATGTATAGATAGATGTATATGTATATGTATAGATAGATGTATATGTATATGTATAGATAGATGTATATGTATATGTATAGATAGATGTATAGATAGATAGATGTATAGATAGATAGAGAAAGAAAGAGAGAAAAAAAACAAAAAAAAAACAAAAAAAAAACCTTGCCCCACTTGTATACTCTGGTTTCAGTAGAATATCGCTGTTCATTTTAATTTATTTGCAGTAAGTATTGCATTATATTCCCTATCCATGGTCGTTATCTATTAACCAGGTTGGATTTTTATCTACTAGATCAGTTTGTTTATCACTAACATTTACATGGAAAGTAAACATATATGCCTAATATATAGCCAGTATAAGTTGGCAAACAAAGGCAGATATCTGAATTGCGATACTGTATGGGAAATATTTGGAGCAAGCACTGCACATTGTCAGTCAGTGAATCTTCTAACAATTCACTGCAATGCATTTAATCATTATGTGGGGGCTTTTTCTAAGAGTCCAAAATGTTTACTTACTGGCTGCAAAGAGTATCAAGCTCGTTTGAAAACCTCTGATGCTGACAACTACTCAGGAGTACGTTCTATTGTTCATTTCTTATCGTACACTAATCTAAAATCACTAGTCATTCTAAGACAGGTCATATTACTAAAGAACATGTGGTCATTTATAGGCAGCTTTGGCTAGTGAAATGCATTCTCATGTTGATGTTCCCTTTTATTATCCCATTGATTTCTGCATGCTTCAAATTGGTAGATTCCTAACTAGGGGTTACATCTTTAAAGAAAGGTATTAAAATTGGCAATAGTCAAGGTTTCTATTGATCATCTCATAAGTATGATCAATACACAGATACCTTTATGGTGTGCTCTTTAAAGCAAGTGTTTTTTCCCACCCTGAAAATGTAAGTTAAAAAGTGTTAACACTAATTTCACATACCTCCGTGACAGCAAAGCTTCTCTTTCCGCAAGGCACCACTTTATACCACTTGTCATGAAGCGTATCCATATATCCACTTGATTTATACTGGCTGATTAATTCTGATATATTTGAAGTTAGAGGAGAGTTTGGAGGAAGACCAATCCCATAACCTGAAAATATATGTAAACACAAGTAAAGTTGAATTTCACATAATTTGCAACATTTGTATTAAAATACCTAGGAACCTCCATAACAAGATTTTAGAAGATATATTGTAAGACATACGCAACTTCATACTACAGCCTTCTTTTCATAAAGAAAGGAATATATTTTAAATGAAGGTATTCAGACACAAAGTCCTGAAAGGTTTTAGGTTTGGTAGTGTGGTAAAATGTGAGATGAGAGCTTCATCTTTTTGTGGACCTCCCACCATGCTATAAAATCATTCAGAGAAACTGTATTTGCATGAAGCATGAGAGCGAGGGCTGGCAGTTTGCTGTGTAAAACAGATTTCAGCCTCCAAGATAAAGTTGCAGCAGATTCTAGCAGGAAGTTGGAGTACCTCAAGCCCCCTGCCAGCCAAACCATCCCATGTGGCATATTAGTGACTATGGCACAGCCTTTAATGAAGTCCACTTGTGCAGGATAAACAAGGCCTGGTAGAATGTTCCCCAGAATGTTCTGTTAGTTATCATTTTACAGATTATTTTGACATGATATTTATAAGTGAAATGGTTGTATATGACCCCAGATGTGCAGGGTGGCTGACCTTTTTTGGCTATAACTTTATATAAGCTACCCTTCTGGTCATGGCTGGATTAAGAGCATCACTGGCCTGGTGCTGAGGATTTTGGTGGGCCTTTTTATGGAAATGTCCTCCTGTCCAGGCTGTGATTTGTAGTATCTTTACAGCTTGGAGTCAGTAGTAGAGGCCCAAGGCCCGGTTGCAGCTGCGACCCTGTTAGATCTGCCACTTATTCCAAGCTGTAGAGGATCCACAAATCTTAACAATACATTATACAGCAATGCAGAATACAGCCAACAGAGAGGACTACAAATCCCTGCAAATTTTTTTACAGCAATGCAGAATAATACAACTATAGAGGACTACAAATCCCAGCAATAAATTGTAACGCACTCCAGAATAATACCATCAGCTGTAGAGGACTACAAATCCCAGCAATACATTGTAAAGCACTGCAGAATAATACCATCACCTATAGATGACTACAAATTCTAGCAATACTTTATGTAGCAATGCAGAATAATATGAAGCTCCATACTCTGTGTTGCTCCCGGTTTGCAGCCTGATGTCTCCAGGGTCTCGGGAGAGTTGTGCACTGTTTAGAGGGGCTGTGCAAGCTCTCAGGAGGCTGTTAAGGTTCTTAGGTGGCCAGTGCTGCTCTCAGGGGGCCAGTAAAGACTCCCAGGTGGTCAGTGTGGGCTCTCAGGGGGTAATTGCGGGCCCTGAGGTGGTCAGTGTGGGCACCAGTGGTCAGTGCGGGCTCTCAGGTGGTCAGCGCGTGCTCCAGCCGGTCAGTGAGACTGGTCGGCTGCGACCGCAGCAGATGCAGCTTTCTGCTCAGGCATATCAGATAGGTCTCTGATATTCCTAAATAGAGGGCCGTGGCTGCCTGGTCGCTATAGAGGACTACAAATCCCAGCAATACATTGTAAAGCACTGCAGAATTATACTTATCAGCCATGGAGGACTACAAATCCCAGCAATACTATACAGCAATGCAGAATAATATGAAGCTACATACTATGTGTTGCTCCGGGTTCACAGCCTGATGTCTCCAGGGTCTCAGGAGAGCTGTGTGGAGTTTAGGGTGGCTGTGAAGGCTCTTAGGAGGCTGTTCAGGTTCTCAGATGGCCAGTGCAGCTCTCAGGGGGCCAGTGCAGGCTCTCAGGTGGTCAGTGCAGGCTACAGGCGGTCGGGTCAGCTCGGCAGCAATTCAGGTGGGCTCGGCCTGGCCGCTATTCAGGATGGCATGCTCCAGCCACGATTCGGGTTAGCTCGGCCTGGACTATTTGCAGGGGCGGGCCTGGAGCGGGAGCTGATGTCCCCTGATGTCTCCATAAAGAGGATCTGTCACATCCTCTTTGCTATAACATAGGGGGCTTCTTAGCCCCCTATGTTATAACAATAAAGTTAAGTGAAAAAAAAAAAAAGTTGCAAAAAATAATTAAAGTCACACAAAAAAGAATTAAAAAAATACAAACTAGTTTAACATCCCCAGCCCGACATACACAAACGCAAACATGTGTCTGGTGCGCATGCGTGCAAAAACGACAGTTGTGCCTATTACACCGCACATGTTACATATCACCGCGAACGTCAGAGTGTGAACAATAATTCTAGGGCTATTATTCACGGATAAATTATTCATTATTCACTAAACTGATGATTGGTAAAAGCTTTAAGTGGTTAAGAAAAGTCAGAAATTACATACCAAACAAAGAAAGGAGCCTGAAATGTAAGCAATTATGTTCTTTTTATCTACCGCAAAAAATGATTTTCAAATTCCCAGAACAATTTTCTCATACTATTATAGAGAAAAGTGGCATTTGTTCATAAATGTATTATGAACAGTTGTTTCAGTGACAATTTAAAACTACTACAGATAAGGTTCCCAACCTTTTTAAAGTTTGAAATGTTTGCATCACATGTTTTGCAAACTGAACAGAAATTATCCCAACAACCAGTGGAGAATACTTCATACAGAAATGTTTTTACTGGCTTTTGTATTTTACTACAAAACAGGCCTAATAATACTGAAAACTAGTGGGAAAAGTACTCATTTATTACCAGGGAGGCAGAGCTGCTTGACAAACCCAAATAGAAAAGATATAAAAATTAGCATTTCAGTTTGGCAAATGCTTTGAGGACCCTGATCTGGGTTTAACCACTTCAAGACCAGGTGTTTAGAACCCCTTCCTGTCCAGGCCATTTTTCAGTGTTCAGCGCTGCGATACTTTGACTGACGTTTATTCCGTCATGCAACGCTGTACTGAAATGAATTTTATACCATTTTTTGGGGACAGACAGAGCTTTATTTTGGTGGTATTTAATCACCACTGGGGTTTTTTTTTTTACTGTATAATTTTCAAAAAGTACCGAAAATTTTGAACGGGTCACATCGGGTAAATCGACACCAAAAGTTTTTTTACATTATGTTAGGAAACAATTATTATCCAGTTTTTCGGTAAAATATAAAAGTCGGGGTCACGTCGGTTAAATAGACACCAAACATGTCAAGCTTTAAAATTGCGCGCACCTGCGATATTGCAGAAAACTACCATACCCAAAATTGGCCATAGGCGACGCTTTAAAAGCTTTTACCGCTCATCAGTTTAGTGTTATCAGTGATTGATGGCCCTAGACTTATTGCTCTCACTCCGACGTTCGCGGCGATATGTAACATGTGCGGTGTAATGGGCGCAATCGTCTTTTTTGCACGTATGCGCCCCCGACGCATGTTTGCATGCGCGTATGTATGGGTGGGGACTTTTACATTTTTTTATTTTTTTTAAATTCTTTATGTGTAACTTAAAAATTTTTTTTGGGGGGGACTTTAATTTTATTTCCTTTTTTTTTACTAAACTTTATTGCTATCACATACGGGGGCTAATAAAACCCCCTTATGTGATAGCAAAATATGTGACAGGTCCTCTTTATGGAGACATCAGGGGTCTCCAAGACCCCTAATGTCACCTAGGACCCCCCAAAAGAAGCTGATGAAGCA